TTTGTACTAGTTTTGTGTGTGTGTGTGTGTGTGTGTGTCTGTGTGAATTAGAGTACCTTTCAGAACCCATGGAAGCTCCACACCAAGGAGATCTATAGGCTGCTCAGAGCATCAGTCAATCAATTACTTATTTTTGCAGCAGTCTGAGCTCCCCATGCTCCCTCCTGCTCATGGACACAAACTAGGCTGTTGTCTCTGTGAAGTTTTTTCCAGGAAACCTTGTGTGAGCTGAGCAAGAATTAATTGTTACCACTGGCTCTGTGTTTACCCACTGTTTTACCATCCCTCCGTGGGTATTCTGTTCTGTGAGGGCCTGAGGTTAGTAGCCACCACATCTGTGAAATGACTTGGTGAAAGCACCTGTGCCAAGCTAGCATGTGTATGTTCCAAACTGTACATGGTTTGGGGAGAAAAACCATCGTTGCTAAGGAATCATGCTTCCCCTTCCAGCAGCTAGTGTTTGAAAAGTGGCCTGTGTTTCCTGGGCAGACCCTGGGCCAGCCCGACTAGAGGCAGCGACTGCTGCACTCCTGCCCTGGCTCTGCTCAGTCATTTGTCCTGGAACTGCCCACAGCAGGCTGCCTTTTTGCCTGTGGACATGCCCAAGAGTCTTTCTTAACGAGATGCCTAGGGGACTGCTTTTGACCCAGGAGTTTTTATGCTTTAAACTTGGGTTTTAATTGCTGTTAAGCTGGATACCATGATGCTGTAGAAAAAAATGGCTTTTAATGCTTACTATTAATCATAGAATTACTGCAGCAGTTATTATTCAACCACTATCATATCAATAAAAGACCTAGACACCTGATAGGTTTTTAACATGCCTACACACTGGAACTGGGCAGAAACCAACCTCCTAAACTACCGTTTATCGTCCAGTCCCACATCCCATGCCATTTGCTCTGATCATTCCTATCTGGGCTACTTCCCATCCATAATCCCATAAATACTTGTACATGCTCTCCATCTGGGATGCTTCTCTCCAGCCATGCCTAACCTCAGAGTAGGCTCCTCCTGGCCATGTGCTTCTATCCATAACTCATGGCGACTTTCCTTCTCCTTCCTCCTCTGTCCTCCCATGACCCTCTGTCCTCCAAGCCCAGGAACCTTAGCTTCACCTACCACACATCTGACCTGCCCAGGTATGTAGACAACTTTATTTGCCCAATCAGGGAGAATTTGGAGGGAAAGTTACATAATGTCATTTTGGAATATGTGAGGGATTGCTCATAGAACAGTAAGAATCTTGGAGAGCAAACAATTGACATCTGAATACAAAGTGCCAAACTATGCCATAACAGGCTTGAATAATTGGGGTCATCTGGTATTGTGCTCGAATCGCCTTACCCCGAAAGACCATCACCAGGAGCCGAGTCTGTTGCAAACCACATGAGGATCTTTTTATTATAAATTACAAGCTGCAGCTTGGGCTCACACCCCTCCACTGCTAAAGTGGTGAGAGCCGAGAGCCCCGTGCTCAGATTAGTTGGGTGATTTAAAGATTCTGGTCCCTCCCAGCATGCCCAAGGCAGGGGCGATTCCTGCCTGGCAAGCATCTATTGGTCAAAATGCTACAATATGAATTGATTGGCTATAGGAAGGTCCCCCCAAACCATCAATGATCTGGTGTCCCTCCCTAGGGGGATGGGCCAGTTTCCTAGCAACTATATCTCTAGTGAGTGGGGAGAGAATGCAGTAAGGCTGGACCTCACACACCTAGTTCAGGCCTTAAATATTAATATTATCTGCTGATTTTTAATCTTTTGGTCTCTCAGTGTCAGCAGATTTTTTCAAAGCTGTCCTGAAAGCAAGTTTTGATAAAACAGCTATTAAGGCAGTCTGAGGTTGGATCAAGTAGGATGCTGGAATAAATATGTCTCAACATCCTTGTAAGCATCCTCCAAAACAAATCCTGTCTGTGCTGTTCCAACCTCACTAGTGATCGGTCCTTTTCTTCTGTAAACATACAAATATACATTCATAGGTAATATATACTTCTGAATAAATAAGGGTATGGAATATACAATGTACACAGATCAGCTAAATATGATTTTCTGTTCTTTATATGAACAGGTGAAAGACATCTATCTTCATAGGTTACTTTGGGCTGTACAACTATCTTATTTTGATTTTTATTGCTGTGAAGACACACCACGACTAAGGCAATTTTTATAAAGAAAATATTTAATTGGAGCTGGCTCACAGCTCCAGGGTTTAGTATATTATCATCATGACAGGAAGTGTGGCAGCCTGTAGGGAGACATGGCACTGTAGGAGTTGAGAGTTCTGCATCTTGATCCCAAAGGCAGCATAAGGCTGCTGTCATGTGCAGGCAGCCAGGACAAGGCTCTCACTACACAGGATGGAGGCTGAGCATAGGCAGATACCTTAAAGCCCATCCCCACAGTGACACAGTTCTTCTGACTTGGCCACCCCTGCTAATTGTGCCAATTCCCATGGGCCAAACATTCAAACACTTGAGTCTTTGGGGGCCAAAGCTATTCAAACCACCACAATAACCAAACTCTAATAAATTAGTCCATGCCATAAGAAAAGATGTCATGATGAGTCTGAGGATTTATTAGCCAACAAGATTTATTGGCTAGGCATAGTTGATGTTCTGGCTGGAGATATTTTTCATGTCTCAGGTAGTGTCAGAGCTGTACCCTTGCAGAGGGATCAGCAATATGTGTTACTGTTGTCAGTTTTCTTGGTTTCTTTCCTCATGTCTGCAGCCAAGATCTTCAAGGATCTCCCCTGAAGGTTAAATGTGATTTTTATAAATTTTTTTCTGTTGAAACAAATATAAAACCTCTTCCCCAGTGCAACACATTTCCTGTCTTCAAATCTGAAATTAGGACATCCTTAATATAAACAGCTGAGCTAGTTCAGTAGGTTTTTTTCCCCTACAATCCAATGTCTCTCAATTGCTGTTGTTTCTGATCATTAGCACTTAAAAACTTTAAAGGTAATAAGGCATTACATAATCCATCTCTGGGAGTCTTTGTTACCATTTTCTGTTTTGTTAAGCAATTAGATTTCTCTGTCTATAACTTTTTCCTGCAGGATTGTGTGAAATATTTGTAATATGCTTTGTATTATGATATGCAAAAAATTCTTACTAGTGACATATGTGAAAGCATTTTCAGTTTTAATTGGTTAAGGTATTCCCATTGGCATAACTTCCTCAAAATGTGTAATTACAGAATCAGCTTTTTAGAACTTAAAGCACTTGCCCATTAAAGTCCTGCATATGTGTCTAAGGTATAGTGCACATATTTTAATTTTCCAAACTCTGCAAAATAAAATACATCCACTTGCCAAATTTCATTCTTTGGGTACCTTTCAGGTTACTCCCTATAGGTCATAGAGTCTGGTTACATAAAGAACAAGTAGAGCATTTTCTTATAATCTCCTCAGCTTGTTGCCAAGTGACAGAAATATCCCTTTAAAACCTCTGTTAGCATGGTGTTTATGAAATTGGCACTTCTAGCATGTTTTCTATCAATAGCTGATCAGTTTCATTATCATCTGTGCTGGAAGGTCCATTTATGATCTGGATGTATTGTATACAATGTGATTTCTACTTCTGATGACTTGTAGGTGAAGAAACAATGAAGTTAATTCTGATTCATCCTGAATAAGTTCAGCTGTTTCTATATGCAAAGCAACTCTTTCTGCATATTGAAATTCAGTAATTAATAGATTCAGGAAAATCTAGAAATAACACAAGAATGGCATACAACTCTGATTTTTGAACTGAAGCTTATTTGAATTACTTTACTTGTATTTTCTGACTTATAACCAGCCAGCAAAAAATCAAAGTGCTTAAGGAATTGGTGTTCTTTTTGTATATAGAAGAGAATCCAGTTAGTTCTTTATATTAATTGAAGTTGCTTGCTTTTAGAATATCTGTTAATTTCCCCTATAAGTTCTTTGCCATCTTCACTGATTACCCATAGTGACAAAATCTCACATTACTAAGAGGAACTACAATTTCTTTTGGATCTGTTACTGACAATTGACAACTGACAATTCATCTTTTTATAATTAAATCACAATTTTTTTCTATATGTCTTTAAATTTTTTCTTTCTTTCTATGCTAAGAAAATCCATTCTAAAATATTATCTTTCCTTTGCATAATGACCTCACTAGAATGAATTGAGGGCAAAATAACCAAAATACAGCCACTCCTCAAAGCTTCTGGGTTTTGGCAGTGGTAGTGGTGGTGGGGTAGTTTTAACAATCAGCAGCATGGGGCCACCTGACAGCAGAACCTAGAGATTCCCTGCAGTGTGGACCCTCTGGTGGTAGACGAGATGTGATCTCTGAATGAAGCCCTTAGAGCAGATGCTGCAGATGTAGGGTCTCCCCAGTGTGGACCCTCTGGTGCATGTGGAAGTATGAGGCCTGACAAAAGCCCTTCCCACACTGCTGACGTGTAGGGCTTCTCTCCTGTTTACATTGTTGGAGGAAGGTTCAAATGTGTTTTCAAATGTTGATTTTGGCATCTTGAGATCTAGTTACCACCATGCCACATACATTGTTATGAATGCTGAATTATCTCCTGTAACCATGTAATAATAAGGAATGTTCGCTGATTATTCCTGATTGGCCAAATAAAGATGCTGAGCCTATGACTGGGCAGTAAAGAGGAAGGTGAGTTTTTAGGTTCCCAGGCTTGGGTTTGAGAGAATGGAGGGGAGAATGCAGAAGAGGTAGCAGGAAAGAGGAAGCTGGAGAGAAAGGAGTTGCCATAAGGCAGGATGGTGATGAGCAGGTGCCTATAAGGGGAGAGACTGGTGGAGCTGAAGCCACCCGAGAGTCATCAGATTGGGAAGTGATTGGTTTTATGTGGGTTATAAAGGTACTGTGAATGGAACAGCTCAGAATCTGCCCAGCATAGAGTTTACAGCTGAATATAAATCATAGTCTCTCTGTGTCAGTCACTGGGGAACTAGCTGGTTAAAAAAAACTGCTGCTGTAATAACTTCTGGCATTAATTAATATAGGAAAAATAATTTATCTTTCTCCAGTGGATGCTCCGGTGAGCACTAAGTGCAGAGCACCATCTGAATTCCTTCCCACACTCCTCACACTTGAATGGCTTCTCCCCGGTGTGAACTATCTGATGAGCTTGGACATAGGATCTCCGGCTAAAGGCTTTCCCACACGTGTCACATTTGTAGAGCTTTTCTCCCGTGTGCACCCTCTGGTGGGTCTGGAGGTTTGAGGCTTTACTGAACCGCTTCTGGCACACATGGCATTTGAACGGTTTTTCACCAGTGTGGATGCTCTGATGAGACTGCAGACTTGAGGCATGACCGAACCACTTCTCACACACATGGCATTTGAATGGTTTCTCACCAGTGTGGACGCTCTGATGAGATTGCAGACTTGAGGAATAACTGAAGCCTTTCCCACACTCCTCGCATTTATAGGGTTTCTCTCCCGTGTGGACACTCTTGTGACTGTGAAGCCCATCCCACCAGCTAAAGCACTTCCCACACACATCACATCTGTATGGTTTTTCCCCAGTGTGAACTCTCTGGTGGGCTTGAAAAACTGACCTCTGGCGAAAGTCCTTCCCACACACATTGCAGCAAAATGGCTTTTCTCCTGTATGGACTCGCTGGTGTTTTCGGAAGTTTGAAACTGAACTGAAACACTTCCCGCACTCTTCACAGTTACTTAGCTTCTCTCCTGTGTGGACCCGTTGATGCTGGTGAAGGTTGGAGTTTGAGCGGAAGCACTTCCCACACACATTGCACTTGTATGGTTTCTCCTCAGTGTGGACTCTTTGGTGGGTGTGAAGGCTTGAGCTCCGGCTGAAATGTTTGCCACAGTCCCCACACTTATATGGCTTCTCTCCTGTGTGAATTCTCTCATGGATCTGGAGGGGTTCACTCCTTGTGAAGCCCTTCCCACACACCTCACACTTGTAAGGTTTCTCTCCTGTGTGAACTCGGCAGTGGATATTGAGATCTGATCTTCGGCTGAAGCCTTTCCCACAGGTGTCACACAGGTAGGGCTTCTCACCCGTGTGCACTCTCTGGTGAGTTTGAAGGTTTGAGCTCTTACTGAAATCCTTGCCACATTCTAGACACCTGTAGCGCTTCTTTCCTGGATGAACGCTTTGTTGAATGGGGACACTGGAGCTTTGCCTGTTGTCCTTGTGTGTACTATGTACAGGAGACTTCTTTCCAAAGGAGACCTGCTGATGGAGTTCTAAACTCCGGCTGTCAATGAAGGTTTCCTGGCCATTGCTACACTGGTAGGGCTTCTTTTCTGTGTAAACATTATGTTGGGTGAGGAGTGACCCCAGAAAGATAACTTTGCCACAGTCACTGCTCCTGTGGGCTCTGTCTCTTTTATGCAGTATATTATTATCGTGGTAGGAAATGCAATGCAGAATGTCAACACCTGGAGCTAACACTTGTACTTTATTTTTCACCAGAATGTTTGGACAGTCTTGCTGATGGTTCTGTCTCTCGCTAAGATGGATTTTACTCAAAGAACTCTGAGCTTTCCCACACAAAAACTCCTGATTGTCAGTAATACTGGAATGGTCACTTGTGAGACTCTCAAGACAGCAATCCTTCTTGGAGATCCAGGCAGGCTCTTCTCCAGCACCATGGCAGGAGAAGTGGCATTTCTCCAGGAAGTGAGAACTCTTTCCTTGAGTGTGTGTTACAGCTTCTGTAGTTCTGGCTAGTTTTTTGACATCATGACTTGTCACTGGCCAGCATGAAAGTAATCCCATTGAAAGGCACATTAATCCTGTTGCATGAAGACTCTTCATCTTGTTTGGACTCTGGCCTCCTGAACAAATAGAAAATAAAAGATAATATTAATGAGAATGGAGATATTAAAAGTCAGAATCCTTGTTTGTCATTGGAAATATTAAGTAGAGACCAGCATCAAAGATAATCATCCCAGAGCTCTGAGGAACAAAGATGTATAAAAAGGAGAGTGTACATTTCAGAGCAACACACATTTGACCATGGTGGGACATACAGGTTGAGCCCAGGAGCGAAGGCTTAAAGTCAACTTCAGACTCTGCTATGTAGCTGGGCAAATGAATAATGCAATGGAAGTGCTTTTCAGCATCTGGCATTTTTAATTGAGGATGGTATGGGCTGAAGTCCAGATACATGGGTCAGATTACTCCGTGAGGCTGGAAAGAGAAGAGAAAACCAGACCTGTCTGGTCTAATCTGCAGGTGACATGAGGCCTGATCTGGTTCACATTACTCAGGGCCAAGCTGAGAGAGTGTAATGGGAAGGCACAGGGAACTTTGGAAGCTGAAGACAAGAAGAGGCATACAAGGATTGCAGACAACAGCAAAGGCCCAGAAACTGACATTCAGCTGGGGGGGAGTCAATGTGTTGGAGAGAACACACATGTAGGAGACTGGAGAAACACTAGTTTGGACAGTACAGAAGAGAGGCAAAGTTTTTAGAAAGCAGAACTCAAAACACACCTTCGGACTAGGGAAGAGCTTCTCTGGGAAAAACGCAGCAATGCAAGGACAGGCACAAGTGGGTTTCTTTCAAATGTGATATCAAACCTAAGATTGCCAGGGGGAAGGAACTCAAAAACAAGGCAGATTTCAGCAGCCAACCTAAAGCAGCAGATATCCTGACCAAATAAGAAAAGTTGCCACACTACCCTACACTTCCCCTAGGGAAATGAACAAATGACCAGAGAACAAACTCTCAGGATTTAAAACAGTAAAGGTGAACTGAAAAACTTCGGAAGCTGAAAAGGGAAGTAGAAGATCCAGTAGTCCTGGGACACAGCTCAGTGGCTTTTGTGGGGATTGGTTAATATCAGTGGGAGAAATAGGTAAAGAAATGGAGTCTTGGGAGAGAGAAGGGTGCTCTTGTGAGGAACACACAAGGCTTTCTGGGGATGCATGTTGCTGCAGCTGCAAGGAGCTGTTGATCCCAGTGTGTGGACACTGGGGATTTGGATGTTTGTCACCACAAGTAGAACTAAACATATGGTAACAAGTCTTGAGGTGCTCAGACACCAGCGAAGGCAAGTGCAGAATATAAAGCTGCAGTACAGTGCAGGGCCTGTGAGCAGTCCTAAGCAGATGAATGCAGAGACAAAGAAGGATAGAGATAGATAGATAAATTGATAGAGAGAAAGAGAGACACAGAGAGAGGACATACCAGGAAGAATGTTTTGGCCATGGAGAAGTAAGTGACAGCAGTTAGCAATTAGCAAGAGAATGTTTATCAGGAGAAGATCATTTATTAGGGAAGTTAGAATTTGCTGAGCAGTGTCAAGCTAAGACTAAAATCACTCAAGCTAAAAAAAAAAAAAAAAGGCAGCTTCTCTGTTTTTTCAGTAAGAAAGCTAATGGTTAATTCTGCTACAAAGCTTCTATGGTCATAAAAATTGGATTCAACAAATACAAAGGTGTTTTCTCTATCTCATTTAAAGGTATAAGATTACCATGTTTAGTATGTCTTCATTATAAATTATTGGTCATTCGGTATGTTTAAAATCTGTAACAAAGTTAACTTACTTAAAACCTAGGGTTGGAACCATTCCGAACAACAAATGGACGTAACTCATGTCCCAGAATCTGGAAAACTAAAATATGTTCACGTAACAATTGATACTTTTTCTGGATTTATCATGGCAACTGCCTTAGCAGGAAAAGCCACCAAACACATTATAAGTCATGGCTTAAAGTGTTTTGCAACAATTGGCGTTCCTTCCACTGTAAAGACTGACAGTGGTACTGCCTATATGAGTCAGGCTCTTCAGAGTTTTTGTGCACAAATAAATAAAGGCATAAAATGGGCATTCCATAGAATCCTCAAGGCTAAGGAATTGTGGAGCCTGCCCACGGATCTCTTAAGAACCAATTACAAAAAATAAGAAAGGGGGAGTTATATCCCCAAACACCACACAATTATCTAAGTCATGCTCTCTTTATTTTAAATCTTTTGAATGTGAATATATAAGGCTGTTCTGCAGCTGATCAATTGTGGCACCCTAATACCAAAGATAACTATTCCCAAGTAAAATGGAAAGATCTGATTACTGGAATATGGCAGGGCCCCAACCCCATATTAATATGGGGAAGAGGGCATGTTTGGGTTTTCCTGCAGGACGAAGAAGGAGCCAGGTGGGTCCCAGAAAGGCTGGTGCAATTTGCAGGAGTTGTTCCCCCGGAAGGAAGATGTTCCTGCTGCTGACCATGGTGAATTCTGTCCTGATGGTGAAGGGAAAGCTGCATTGGGCTTATGCTCCTCACCCACCTGTGTTTCATTCTGCTCCTGGGAGAAGATGTCATGCAGAGAAACCTCTTATACAATGTGACTGACATTGATTTATCTGTTAA